TCAAAACATTTCCACTCCTTTTTAAATTTTTGATTTGACTGATTTCTTATTATACCAGTTAATTTTGCCAAAATTAAATATTCATTTAGTTTACAAATCCATCCCTCCTTTGTAGGTATAGTTTGTGACTTCCACTTAGCAGCAATCACTATTCTAGCAGTTGTACTTGCATATAGAAAAATTCTTGTGCAATTATAGTTGATTGGGTGGTCTTGCACAATGAACCCACTCCCAACCACAACCTGACGTTTTACAATAAGAAAAATGCCAGAGAAATGTGCAGGAAAGTACAGGATAACAATTTGATTTGCCACAACTTGGTTTCACCTTCCTGTGAACAAATCAGAGTGAAAGCTCAGCATGTGGCTACCACAAGGGAAGACCCACACCATCGGATTCATATTACTGTTTGACCGTGGAATGGACTCCCTTGGAAAGTGGTGGGCTCCCCTTCTCTGGAAAGGTTTTAAGCAGAGGTTGGATGGTCCTCCCCTGTCAGGGATTCTTCAGCTGTGATTCCTGCATTGCAGGGCGTTGGACTGGATGACCCCTAGGGTCCCTTATAACTTTATAGTTCTATTAATGTTTGGTCTCCCTGCAAGCACACCAGGATGAATGCTGAACAAACAGGTCATCTGGAAGTGCTCTGCACCTCAGTCCCACTGTGGACACGAAAGGGCAGGACAAAGATTCACATAACATTTGCAGGTGTGGCCTAAACCACAGAGCCTCTTGGGCTTGCCGATCAGAAGGTCGGCAGTTCGAATCCCCGTGACGGAGTGAGCTCCCGTTGTTCGGTCCCTGCTCCTGCCCACCTAGCAGTTCGAAAGCACGTCATAGTGCAAGTAGATAAATAGGTACCGCTCCAGCGGGAAGGTAAACAGCATTTCCGTGCGCTGCTCTGGTTTGCCAGAAGCGGCTTAGTCATGCTGGCCACATGACCCGGAAAAAACTGTCTGTGAACAAACGCCGGCTCCCTCGGCCAGTAAAGCGAGATGAGCACCACAACCCCAGAGTCGTCCATGACTGGACCTAATGGTCAGGGGTCCCTTTACCTTTACGGCAGACCACCATGGTTACCTACCTGTATTGGAAATACAGTGGACATTTGAGTTACTAACCGCTCTGGATACATAACTTTCGGGTTGCGAATGCAGCAAACCTGCCGCACACACGCGCAGAAGTGCTCTGCACACTACGCATGCACAGAAGTGGCGCCTCTAGTTACATGCAAATTTAGGAATAATTCCTATCTTTTAAATGGAATTCAACATGCCTCACCATAGCAGGGAACAGGACTGAACAAGTGAGTCTGTTTGCCAGCTCATTCTGCAGTCCAGGTGCAAGGTTTTGGATGGACAGCTTTAAGGCTCTCCCTGCTCCCCTTTCTTAAGGTTCTTGATCTTTAAACTGGTCCTTGGACCCCTCCAGACATCCATTTCACTGTACATTCATGACTACTTGTGCTCATAATGCTACCGGGGCTATCAATACTGTTTGCGCCTACGAAAACTGGTATTGTTAAGAGATATTGATTTAGTTGCTGTTAACGAGAATCTGTATTTTATTCTGTAATTCTTAGTATTGCAATTGTATTGCTATAATTGTTTTGATTTAATATCAAAGTTAATTAACTTTAATAATATTATTAATAATAATGGTCAAGAATCTCCAGTGCTATTTAATACCTACATGAAGCTTCTGGGAGAGATCATTAGGAGTTAGGGGGTGAGGTACCCTCACTATGCTGATGACACTCAGCTCTATTTCTCCGTTATATCTGAATCAGAAGAGGTTGTACAGTCCCTGTTAGTGTAAGGAAAAAATACCTAAAGGTAAAAAGGAGAGTTTCAGGATGCCAAGATCCAAGTTTTGGGGCAAGTACTCCTTGGTGAGAGAACGCCAGCAGAGATTTAAGACAAAAAACACACAGCAAAGTAAAGTGTGGAAATAATAGGTTGTTAGACCTTTATACCCTTGTGAGTTCCAAAACTTCCCTCTTCCCCTAGCAGAGAAAAAGACCACACGTTTGGTAAGTTAAAAATGGTTTGCTTACAAGCTCTCCAAAGGTCATATTCATGTGCTTTTCCATACAGCATTCAGAAAAAGTGGCACAAGCTGTAAAACTTAGTTACAGCAGTGAAAATTCCTAAATTATTCATACAGGAATTCAAGAGTGGCTTGTAAGACAGAGCAGGACAGCTTACACCATGGTCTTAACCCCTTCATGCATTTATTAGCCTTAAGCATATGGGTTGTATGAGGCTGGTTACCCCACAGTTCCTGGGCTGTTGCCTGGACACAGTAGTGAAATGGATGAGGAAAAACAAGCTGAGCTTCAGTCGTGGCAAGATGGAGGCACTGTGGGTGAGTAGTTCCTGTGTCCAATAAACTGGTCAGTTACCTACCCTGGATAGGGTTGCAAGCTACCTCAAGGAGCAGGTTCATAGTTTGAAGGTGCTTCTGGGTCCACCTTGGTCACTAGAAGCTCAGGTAGCCTCAGGGGCTAGTAGTGCCTTTAACCAACTGCGGCTGATTTGACTGCTGTGGCCATTCCTGGACTGGGAAAGCCTGACCACAGTAGTTGTTGTGATTCTATAACACATAGATGGTTGGTGATATAACAATGCTGAAAATAGAGACTTGCCCCTTATATATAAAGGGATGGTTAGAGCATAGCCTTACCATCATTTTTTTTCTTGCTGGCTGTAAAAACCCACCAAATCCTGTATGAATCAAGAACAGGAATGGAGGGCAGGCAGGATGCGGGAGGGGAATCAATTATTTGCTGTGGCAACCAAATAGGTCAAGAGTCCTTTGTTCAGATGATTGGTCCACCCACCTACCATATGAGGCAATCTGTTAAGAGAGTCTGAGCTGCTGCCTGAGCAGGGAGCTGTTTGCAGCATCCTGCAGTTCTGGCTTCTTTCCAGGGACTGTGTTTGTTTATTTAAACCACCTCATTCTAAAGTGCCCCCTGCCTCAGGCTGGCAGTGAAACCCAGCAGGAAAACAAGTCAACAACGAATCCTGCCATCATATGTAAAGATGACCAACAAGTGATGTTAGCTGGTTGCTTCTGAATCAACTGATGAACTTGCCTTATCTTATGTTGAGTCAGACCATTTGTCTACCTAGCCCAGAACTGTCTGCTTTGATTGGTGGGGGCTCTCTAGCCAGGGTCTCCCAGTGACTGCTAACTAGGATCTTTCAGTTCAGGAATGAAACCCTGCAGCCTTGCAGATTTTGCTGGACTAAAACTCCCATAATTGGCTATTGGCTGTCCTGGCAGGGGCTGCTGGGAGAGGGCCACAGTTTCCTCACCTCTTCTTTAATTCAAGATTGAAATTGAGACCTTCTTATTGCAAAGCACATGTTTCGTCACAAAACAGCTAATGGCAATGCTAGGCTAAATGGGTTTTCACCAGTTCCTGCAGCTGGAAATGATCTTGTTGGCATCTATCTCTCTCAGGAGACCACGGAGGAGGAGGGAAGCCAAACGTTTGGAGAGTTACAGCACCTGCTGGGGTTGTACAGCTGGGGCAGATGAAAGCATTTTTTTCTTTCTTTCTGCAGTCCTCTCAACGGTCATTCTTCCTCTGGTCAGACCTGACAGTCTGTCTCCAGACATAGTGGTTGGTCAGGTTGTGGATTCACTTCCACCTGGAGCCGGATTGGGTGGCTCCTGCGGACCAATCATACTGCTGCATAGTTCTAGGACCAATCAGACTGCTGCATTTTAGATCCTATTCAACTCAGTACATAAGATTTCCATACCGCACAGTTAATTTTGTCAGCCTTCACGACACTTTTGCAGACATATTTGTACCACAGAGTTGGTCTACCAATAGTCCTGGTGCCTGAAGCCAGCACATCTTTGGGGATCCTACCACCCTCCAATCTGTGGACGTGACCAAACAGGGCCGGATTTAGGTTTGATGAGGCCCTAAGCTACTGAAGGCCCTTTATATGTCCAGCTGTCCTTTGTCAACAACAAATGGTCACTGTTTTTGGTGTTGAATATATGCTATATGGTAACTGATTGACCTAATAGGTATCTCAAGCCATTTGCACATAACAAAATATGTATTTTATCAAAGTAATTGTTGAACTGAAATACAATTAAGAAGTATATTAATAGTGAAATAATTATTAAGCCCTAACTTAAAATGAATTTTTATTCATAACAAACTTAATAATGCAAACACATTGGTATTGGGCCCATTACTTACATCATAGGAGCCTACACAACACAAAACACTGTTGCTGTATGTAAGTTTTATTTTATTTGTTTTTTATCTTATATTTTGGAAATGTACATCCAGTTTTTTTCCCTTCAAGTTGTTTTGCCCTCCCCCCCCAAGAGAGTGGGGCCCTAAGCTATAGCTTGTTTAGTTTATATGTAAATCCAGCACTGTGACCAAACCAGTCACAGTAGACGTCGCTGAGACAGGAGTACCAACATGCTGGGAATGCAGCATATCTTAGAAAGCACATCTTTGTTTAAAACTGTCCTGCCATGTCATGCCCCAAATCTTTCTCTGTGGCAGTCTCTAAATTGTGGAACTCCCTGCACCAAACATTTTCATCATATGGTTTTGGCCATATTCATATAGCAGCCATTTCCTCAGACTACGGAAGAGAGAAAGAGACGGACAGGTGGAGAAAGGTGGAACTGGAGGGCACGTTCCTTGACCAGAAACTTTTCACTCCCCTCCAACTTTTCCCATTCCTGGTCTTCAAAACAAGGACTCTCTAACTAAGAACCTGGGTTTGCCTTTATTCTCCTCCCTTAGCGTCCTTTTTCCTTTTGTGCTGTGTCTCTTAGATCATGAGCCTGGGGGCATGGGTTGTCTTCTTGATATTTGTGAGCTGCTCTGTTCCTTAATTTTTTTTTTATTGGTTTTTACACATTTTCCAAACATAACATCCCATCTTAGACAACATAACAGACCTTTGGCTATCACCGCCTAGCATTTCTATCAACCTTGACTGATGGTTTTTTAACTTCCTTTCTAATTCTGCATTTTATTTTAATAGTTATTGCTATAAAATCCAAATCTAAAAAAACCTCCTTCTTAGTCCTCTTTTGCAATAATTCATATAGTTCTCCTTACAAAACTTATTGTAACCTTACAAGCGATGTCAAATGATTACAATTGTCTTTCAGATATATCAATTTCTTCCAGTCCTTCAGGAAAGTCTGGTCTTGCTGGTTCCGAATTTCCCCAGTTAATTTCGCCAACTCAGCATAATCCATCAATTTCATCTGCCACTCTTCTTTTGTTGGTAATTCTTCCTGTTTCCATTGTTGGGCTAATAGTATTCTTGCTGCAGTTGCCGCATATAAAAACAATTTTTTATCATGCTTATGAATCTCTGTACCTACAATACCAAGCAAAAGGGCTTCTGGTTTTTGTTTTTTTACAAATGTATATTTCAACATTTTAAAAATCTCATTATAAATCATTTCCCAGAAGTCCTTCACTTTCTTGCATTCCCACCAAATATGGTAAAAAATACCTTCTTTTTTCTTACATTTCTAACATTTATTATTTGTTTTATACATTTTAGTTAATTTCACTGGTGTTATATATTATCTGTACATCATTTTCATTATATTTTCCTTTAAAGCACTGCAGGCAGTGAAATTTATTCCGTCTTTCCATAATTTTTCCCAATCTTCTAATTGTATATTATGACCAATATCTTTAGCCCAGTGTATCATAACTGATTTAATTTTCTCATCCTTCAAATGCCATTCCAATAATTTATATATTTTAGATAATATTTTAACTTTATTATGTAACAATTCTAATTCCAATCTCGATTTTGTATATCCAAATCCATTTTTCTTTTTATCATCTTTAAACATTTCATTAATTTGAAAATAATGCAACCAATCATTCACAAAACCTTTAACCTCCTCATATGGTTTTAATTTCCATTGGTTATCCATCTCCTTCACTAATTGTTCATAGGTGACCCAATTTTTACTCACATTTATCTTTTTCACACTCATTGCCTTGAGAGGCAATAGCCACCATGGCATCTTACGTTCTAATTCTTATATCTATCCCACACCTCATGATTTTTGACATATGTGGTTCCCAAATCCTTTATGAACTTTTACCTTATCGTACCATAAATATGCATGCCATCAGAATCTGTTATCAAATCCTTCCAGATCTAATAGATCTGTATCCTCCAACAAAATCCAATCCCTTAATCAACAAAGGCAAGAAGCTTCATAATACAATTTCAAATCTGGCAAGGAGAAGCCACCTCATTCTTTTGTATCTGTAAGTAGTTTATATTTATTTATTGGCTTCTTCCCTTGCCAAATATATCTTGAAATTATTTTTTGCCATTCTCTAAAGATACCTACACCACTGATAATCGGGATTGATTGAAATAAAAATAACATCTTTGGTAGCACGTTCATTTTAATACCAGAAATTCTACCCCATAGGGATAGTTTCCTCCTTCCCCACACTTCTAAGTTCCTTTTGATACCATTCCACACTGGTGTGTAGTTATCTTTAAATAAATTTATATTTTTTGTTAACCAAATTCCTAAATATTTTACTTTTTTAACTACTTCTATCCTACTCTGTTGTTGCAAGATATCTATCAGATCTTGATTCATATTCTTAACTAACATTTTTCTTTTCTTTTTTATTTAATTTAAAACCTGCTACTTGTCCAAATTGTTCAATTCTTTCTAGTGCTTCTCTAGCACTAGTTAATCGTTATTCCACTGTTATAACCAAGTCGTCTGCAAAGGCCTTTAATTTATATTCTTTCCGACCGACAGAAATTCCCTTGATTTTTCTGCTTTTCTCATATTATTGAAGAAGACCTGTAGGACCGTAATGAATAATAATGGGGGATAAAGGACAACCCTGTCTTGTACCTTTCGTAATTTCATTTCCCCCCATTAATACATTGTTTACTATCAATTTAGCTTTTAGATCTGAATATGCCTCTTACAAAAGATTGTCCCATTTCCATAAATTCCAAATTCTTTATCATAAATTCCCAAGAAATATTATCAAAGGCTTTTTCTGCATTTACAAATATCAATGCCGCTTGCTTATCATTCCTGACCATCAAATACTCAGTTATATCAACTATGTTCCTTATGTTATCTTTCATTTGTTGTCCTGGAAGAAAGCCAGCTTGATCTTCATCTGTTCCATCTAGCTCAGTGTTTGTTTGTTTGTTTGTTTGTTTGTTTGTTTTAAAAATGTTTTTATTAACAATTTCAACATAACAAATTATCAAAACATATCATATTATTTCCCCCCCTTTCCCCACCCCCTTCAAACCCTCCCCCCTCCCCCCCGAGACTTCCCTCAGCTCCTCTCTCTGATTTCTCAGCACCTATTATTCTCTGCATGTTATAAAATTATACATATCCTTACATTATCTATCTACCATGTTACCAACTAATAAATTTGTGTATGTTTATTCAAAACCTGCCAAGGAGTCCAATTCATTTTGTTGTCTTTTTAGATAAATTGTGAAAAGCTCCCATTCATCCTTGAAGTCACAGTTGTCCTTTTCCTGCAATTTATATGTCAATTTAGCCAGCTCTGCGTAGCTCATCAATTTTTCTTGCCACTCTTCTTTCGTTGGGATTTCCTCATTCTTCCATCCTTGTACTATCAGGACTCTTGCTGATGTTGTAGCATACATAAATATGTTCTTTATTTTTCTTGGCAGGTCTTGTCTTACAATCCCTAACAAAAATGCTTCTGTTTTTTTTACAAATGTCATTTTAAAATTTTTTTTTCAATTCATTATATATCATTTCCCCCCAAAATTAACTTTTCTGCATTCCCATCACATACGATAAAAAGTCCCTTCTTTTTCTTTACATTTCCAACATGTATTTGACCCGGTTTTGTACATTTTTGTTATCTGTACTGGTGTAATATACCATCTGTATATCATTTTCATACAATTTTCTTTCAAGAGAGAACAATCTGTAAATTTCAAATTTACTTTCCACAATTTTTGCCAGTCCGTCTAGCTCAGTGTTGTTGACACCAGCTGGCAGTGGCTCTCCATGGTTTCAAGCAAGTTACATTTCCCAGTCCTAAGTGGAACTGCTGGGGACAGAATCTGGGACATTCTGCATGTAGAACAAGTGCTCAGTTGCTGAGCTATGGCTTGTAGGAGCTAGAGGGATATAGGAAGCTGTTGTTGTTGTTTAGTCGTCTAGTCGTGTCCGACTCTTCATGACCCCATGGACCAGAGCACGCCAGGCACTCCTGTCTTCCACTGCCTCCCGCAGCTTGGTCAAAGTCATGCTGGTAGCTTCGAGAACACTGTCCAGCCATCTCGTCCTCTGTCGTCCCCTTCTCCTTGTGCCCTCCATCTTTCCCAACATCAGGGTCTTTTCCAGGGAGTCTTCTCTTCTCATGAGGTGGCCAAAGTATTGGAGTCTCAGCTTCAGGATCTGTTCTTCCAGTGAGCACTCAGGGCTGATTTCCTTCAGAATGGAGAGGTTTGATCTTCTTGCAGTCCATGGGACTCTCAAGAGTCTCCTCCAGCACCATAATTCAAAAGCATCCATTCTTCGGTGATCAGCCTTCTTGATGGTCCAGCTCTCACTTCCATACATTGGGAAAACCATAGCTTTTACTATACGGACCTTTGTTGGCAAGGTGATATAGGAAGCTACTTTATACTGATTCAGATCCTTGGCCCATCTATCACAGTGTCACCTACACTGACTGGCAGCAGCTCTCTGATGGTTCATATTGGGAATATCCCCAGCCCTATTTGGAGATGCTGGGGTTGAAACTGGAACCTTCTGCATGCAAAGTGGATGCTTTGCTACAGAGCTACAGTTCTGCCCCCACCAAGTTCCTCCAGCAAGGGAAGACTGGTGGGGGTGTCACAAGGCTTGCTCTGTTCTTACACCTTGAGATTCAGCAGTTTATATTTGTCAAGAACTATTTTCCTGTAGGATCAAATCAAGTTAATATGCTTTATTTAGCATCTCACTGGGCACCTGCAGCTCTCTCTGGCATCAAAATGAGGTGGAGGTGCTCAGCACCCACTCTGTTTCACGCACGAGCCTGGAATTTGCCGCTTGCCGCCAGATGATGCAGGGACAAAATAACAGGGCCGAGAGAGAGAGAGAGAGAACAGTTGCCATGTCAACATATATTTGTGTCCTCCCTTTCGAAAGCTGTTGCAAAATGAGGCAAGCTGCAGTTCGGGCAGCATGGTAGATGCTGGCCCAGGTATTATTTTAGACTGTATGCTAGGTGGAGGTGTATATGGTGCACTGGATCCTTCTGTCATTTTAAGGTAATTTAACAGGTTCCTGTGTCCTCTCCCTCTCTGAGAATTTAGGAAGCAATAAAACCGCCTCATGCACATTAATAGGCAAGTCATTAGACTACTGTTGATAACATAAGAGACCTCCTGGATCAGATCAAAGGTCCATGTTGGCCTGCATCCTTTGCTCACGTTGGCCAGCCAGGTATCTCTGGGGAAACCACAAGCAAAACCTGAGTGCAGCAGTGCTCTCCTCTCCTCTTGTGACTCCCCGAAACTGTTATTCAGAGGCATACTGCCCCCAACAGTGGCGTTAGAACACAGCTTGTGGCTAGTAGCCATTTGGAGCCTTATCCTCCATGGGTTTGGCATGATTCTCTTTTGAAGCCATCCAAGTTGGTGGTCATCACTCGGTCTTGTGAGAGTGAAGGTCATAGTTCAGCTACGTGCTGTATGAGGACCAGGGCATTTCCCCCCCCCCAGCCAGAACTCACTGGAACTCAGTTCCTGCACCTCTCAGGTGAGCGCCATTGCCATTATAAGAGAACAAGGGAGGAATTCAAGGTGAGTTCTGGCACCTCTTTTTCTAGAAAAATAGCACTGGGGAGGACATTCTTCCCGATACTGTTTTCAGGTTTCCTTGTTGCTGCACCCGGATTGAGCTTGTGCACTCACTTTCCCCCTCATTTTTTCAAGTGAATCATCCCTCCCCTTTTTGTTCGGAGCAAACTGCAGTGCACTTGTACATTTCCATCCACGTGTTCTCCTAACCATGATTAACCCAAACCATCTTGCAAACCCACTTCTGACCATGGTTGCAAGCTGTGGTCCAGGTCTGACCATAGTTAGTGAAAAGGCAGTGCAGATGTTCTATACCAGGGGTCAGCAAACTTTTTCGGGAGGGGGCCACTCCACTGTCCCTCAGACCTTGTGGGGGGGCCAGACTATATTTTTTTTTGGGGGGGGAATGAACGAATTCCTATGCCCCACAAATAACTCAGAGATGCATTTTAAATAAAAGCACACATTCTATTCATGTACAGTGGTACCTTGGGTTAAGTACTTAATTCGTTCCGGAGGTCCATTCTTAATCTGAAACTGTTCTTAACCTGAAGCACCACTTTAGCTAATGGGGCCTCCTGCTGCTGCCGTGCTGCCGTAGCAAAATTTCTGTGCTCATCCTGAAGCAAAGTTCTTAACCTGAAGTAATATTTCTGGGTTAGCGGAGTCTGTAACCTGAAGCATCTGTAACCTGAAGTGTATGTAACCCGAGGTACCACTGTAAAAACACCAGGCAGGCCCCACAAATAACCCAGAGATGCATTTTAAATAAAAGGACACATTCTACTCATGTAAAAACACCAGGCAGGCTCCACAAATAACCCAGAGATGCATTTTAAATAAAAGGACACATTCTACTCATGTAAAAACACACTGATTCCCAGACTGTCCGTGGGCCAGATTTAGAAGGCGATTGGGCTGGATCTGGCCCCTGGGCCTTAGTTTGCCTACCCATGTTATATACGGTTAACTCCATAAATGAGGAGAGGAGGGTTCACACAAAGGAGAGGAAGGGGCAAAAGAAGGATAGGTGATGTTGCAGGAGAGCTGCCAGGGGATTCGTGATTTCTTGAACACATTTCTTCCAGAGGTTCCTTTCTTCCAAAGGAAAGAGGGAACCTGTGGGTGCAACTGCGGAGATTATTCCCAACCCAGTCCAGGGGAGACCTCTTCAGAGGAAGAGGCCTGGGACTCTGCAGAGAATGCTGCTCCCCCCAGCCGAAAACCTGCATGCAACTCTCAATAGTCCAAAGGCTTTCTGAAATGTCACATATCAGGGATGCCTTGCCTGGATCCTTCAAGGACCACCTCAAGCCCCAGTGCTTTAAAAGAAAAGAAAAGAAAGGTGCCTATACTCACTGTGCCTCACTCTTAACATTTGGGGGTGGGGGGAGTGCCAGTACTGCGTACCCCTGAGTACCCCCAGAAATCAAGCCCTGTGCTCCAGGCCTTGTGAGTGAAGGTGGCAGGTGGCAGGTGACCCTGTGGAAAGCCCAGAGCTCCCAGGAAAGCATCCATTTGGCTGCCAGACAACTTGGGAGGAGAGAAGACCCAACTGCAGGCAAGGGTTCAGCATGAAGCAACAGACCTGGTAGAACAAAGAGAACCGCCAATGACTGTACAAGTCTCTCCATGCCCTCTCAACCTTTGCTGAGCTAGCTCCTTTTTGAGCTCATTGATCTACAGTTCTGCTCCCTCCAACCTCGTTGAGTACGGAGTCCATTGTTTTACTTACGCACCACCCAAAAACAGAAAAGGCATCATCCTCACAAAAGGACAAATATTTGCATTAAAAATTGCACATGCTGATCTATATGTATATGTATCCCTATCTATAAGAAGCCTGATAATCAGAAAAAGGAGCTAAATGTTGACATCTATCATTCTATCTCTTGCTTACAGCAAAGGATGGGGGGGATCTGCGCCTCTCCAGCTGCCACCGGTACCAGCAGTGGTCAAGGATGGTGGGAGCTGAGGAACAAGGACACCTCCGCATCCCCTCCCCCCCAGTATATGAACTGAACTTGAATTGGGGAAGGGGACGGGAGACCGAGGGAAACCAAAGGGAAGGAAAGAACTACGACTCCCATGAAGCTCTCTGAGTGGCTGCTGCGGATCCCCCTCTGGCGGCGATTGTGAGCAAATACGTTCTCGATCCGGCTTAGGACCAGGTGGCCAAAGGGAGCTTCATTCGTGGTAGGCAGCGCTGCTGCAGAGACCCGGCGAGGAGCCTGATTTAGGCGGAGCGGGGTGCGGGGCTGCTGAGAGGAAAGGGAGGGCGCTGCAGTAGCAGCCCCCTCGGGCACCTCCAAGTCCCAGGGCTGGGAAGGTGGGCATCTGCGCGCGCGCAAAAAAAGGAGACACGCACCGATGAGGACTTGGGGGGCCACAGACGAGCCGTCGACGAGCCTTTGAGACGAGAGCCCCCCACCCTCCAAAAATAAAAAGCCCTCCGAGAGAGACGCTTTGCAAGCCGCTGGAGACGTGAGATCTCTCCCCGCCGCGTGCAGCAGCCATGGGGAACCGAGGAATGGAGGATCTCATCCCGCTGGTCAACCAGCTACAGGATGCCTTCGCTGCCATCGGCCAGAATGCCAACCTGGACCTGCCCCAGATCGCTGTGGTCGGAGGGCAGAGCGCCGGGAAGAGCTCCGTCCTGGAGAATTTCGTCGGAAGGTAAGGGAGCCGGTGGTATTTATTTAAACCATCTATTTTATTTTATACCATCCCCCGCGCCTTAATTAGCCCTGGGCTTCTGTGGATGCTCGTGCAGAGCAGACATCCGGCTTAATGCGCGGAAGTCCCCCTCCTGCCGCCCTTGCCCAGTGGAAATCCGAAATAGCGGGGAAACGGAGGCTGGGGAAGGGGAGGGGAAGGATCTGGAGCCGCTTTGGCTCCCTGCGATGGGGGAGCGGGAAAAGCTCTCCCCCCTCTCACGCCGCCATTCCTCAGCACTGCGGATGC